CTTAATAAAAAGTCAATGAGTTTATGCAACTTCGTCCTTAAAACTAGCCTTTTGTTCACAAACAAAAACTGCATATTCTTATTGTAATGGGCGTCAGAGCTGATGTAGCCACTAAGTTCAAACTCCTTATATTTAAAATTTATTTCTCTTAACTTTTGGGACTTACCTAGTCCATAAATTTGACAAAATCGGGAACATATGTCTTTGGTTTTAGGGAGCTGAAGCACCATGGAACCAGAAACATCATTTCTCAAAGAGAAAGAAATGGAAGGGTGCATGAGTGAGAGAGCTTCTATCCTCTGCCTAACCTGCCCAAACTCCAGTCTAGGATCCATGCATTTCCTCCTTACAGGTAACTGATAAAATAAGTTATATACCGTTACTGTGGTCCCAGCACTTGGTCTGGTCAAGTCAGCTTCTAAGGCACTCAGGGCTTTTCCATTCTGAAACAGTTTCACAAAGGTTTTCATTGCCCCGCTTTTCTTGGATGAGATTTCCACAGCACTGGCCATGTCAGCTATACTGGCCAAGGCCTCCCCTCGGAAACCATAAAACCTTGGGTTCTCCAAGTCCCGTACGGAGCTGCATTTACTAGTGAAATAACGGTTTCCTACCTTGTCCACGTCATCCCTCCCCATCCCAAACCCATTGTCTATCACTTGGATTTGGAAGGTTTCCATGTTCAGCCTCGCAGCCACACATTTTGCTTCAGCGTCAATACTATTGAGGGCAAGCTCCTCCACACACTGGCCCAAGGAGCAGACAGCCAAACCAGAACGCAATTTGGCTTGCACTTCCGCTGACAAGCACTTGATCATGGCAGGTAGAAAGCTGGTGAGAATGCCAGGCAAGGGTTTCCTTTTGTGACTGTAAATAAATTGCCTTTGGGAGAAAAATAAAAACAAAAACATACACAATTGAAAAGCTTCAGGGTTACACGGCATTACCCATTTTCCTGAGGCATTATAAAAAATACCATTTGATGTAAATGAAATTTCTTATTAAACCACATTGTAAAACAAAACAAAACAAATGACAGCTCTGACCTCTAGGCAGATCACACAGCTCAGGTTTGATGCAATGGACTTAAATTAACATCCAAAGCAGCTCTGATAATTTCATAATTTTCACTGACCCCATCTAAATCCCACATGCCCCAAAGTGAAATCATAATCACATCTGAAGTTGACCTATGAAGATAGTGTTCAAAATTCTAATCACTTTACCAAAAACAGATGCCCAAATTCCACTAACATTAGCTAGAAATTATTCACACACAAAAGTCCAAGCAAGTTTCATAACATTTATACATTACACAATAACCACGACTTTTAGAAAAAACTCATAATAAAGTACTAACAACACTGTAATAAGAAGGTGAAAGAACAGGAAGAAATAAAGACAAATTATTGTATTAAGAAAAGATTGGATTAAGATATTATTAATAATTACTATTTTATTATTATTATTATTATTATTGTTATTGTTAAGTGTAGGTAACCTCAAGAGAAAGAGACTGGAAATGGGAAAGGATAAGGCAGGAAAATTCCTTTTTATTATAAGCCTTTCTGAATTATTTTAAGTTTACTTTGGTAAAAAGTTTTCAGACTGTTATTATATTCTTTTGTGTTAATAGTCTTTTGGTCTTTACAATGGCTACAAACTACCTCGATAATAACAATGATGGTAGGGGGCTGTCTAACCTGGGTTTTTAAAATTTCTCCCAGTAAAAAAAGAAAAATTTAAGATTATGGTGCAATTAAAGGTCCTGGTTCTTCTCCATAGGTAAGAGCGCAGCATAGTCTAGACCTCACTCAGGTGGACCTCACTCAGGTGGAAGGGCTGGATTTTCAAACCCAGGGAAAATCCGACCTGGAAGTGCAGCTCTGATTATTTCTATGGCAACGCAAAGCTCTGAGGGGCGGGACCGCGGCCGCAGGCCCCTCCCTCCAGGCTCAGCCTCCGCCCGGCCCCGCCCCGGCCCCGCCCCTGACTCCCAGCCCTAAGCTCAGGCCGCCCCGGCGTGCGCGCTGCGGCGAAGGGAGGCCGGAGGCAGGGGCCTCCGGAAGTCCCGGCGCAGCCGGCTCCGAGCGCTGGCCCGCGGGGACGTCACGGCCCTCTTGGTGCTAGAAGAGCTCCCGGAACCATCCTTTCGTCTCGTGCTTTCCCCAAGTCACCTCAAATCACCCTTTACCAACTCGAGATACCAACCGCCTCGGATGCCGGCTGGCGCGCGTGGGCTCGCGAGGCTCGTGCGCGCGCGAGCCGGGAGCATGCGCTTCGGAGATTCGCCGAGAAGTCCCTGCCTCCAGACACTTCAGTGCGCACGCGCACGCTTTGAGTCTTTTCCCTTCTCCTCCTCCCCCCCCATCAGGCCTTTTCACACTGGTGCTCCGGAATTCCCAATCCTTATCCCCTTTTAGCATGGCATGAAACACCGTTTCTAGCCATTTTTACTTTTGTTCTTGTTTCCTCTTTCCCGTTTCTCCTTTGCACGCCCTACTATTTGATTCAATGTAGTATTTGCTCACTGTCTTCTCTCCCTAGAATGAAAGCCATGTGAAGGTAAGGATTTTGTCTGTTTATTGCTGTATCCCCATGGCCAAGAACAGTGTCTGACCTCTGTTAGGGACTCAATGAATGAATAAATCCACAACCTTGAGTCCTATCATATGAAAGCGTTTAAGAGCTGGGGAGACTGAGAAACTAACTCAGTTCTCTTAATTTGCGGACCAGAACACCTAGACTCCCTGCATTGCCTTTTTTGGGTGTTTTCCTAATACACCACAGCTTCTTTTCTAACAGAATGAGAGCGGAACTCTAAGAACACGGTGAAAATAGGTGTTCTGGGAATCATTACCAGTATTTACTCTCATTTTCACGGAAACCTTATACATTTAAAACATATATTTTATTGTTTTTTTAGAAAGGGAAAGGGAGTGAAACTTCAATGAAGAGAATCACAGATAGGCTGCCTGCTGTAAGCCCTCTACTGAGGATCAAGCTTAGGACTGGGCATGTGCCTTGACAGGGAATCAAACCGGTGACTTCATGGGTTGATGCTCCACCACTGAGCCACTCTGGCTGGATAAAACCTTATATTTTTAAAACTTGTAATTTGTGACAAATTTGTCAAGCCCAGTAAGCATTCTGTGTATACCAAACCAATCAGGAGATTTTCCAGGGCTAATGAAGCAAAATCCTGAGTATTGCTTATATCAGTTTGTCACAATAAACCACCACAGACTGGGTGGCTTAAACTACAGATATTTATTTTGTCACAGTTCTGGAGGATAGAAGTCTGTGATCAAACTGTGAGACATGTTGATTTCTTCTGTGGACTCTATATTTGTATTGTTGATGGCTGATTTCTCCCTCTGTCTTCACATGCCCTTTCTTCTGTGCATGCACATGTCTGTGTCCAAATTTCCTCTTATAAGGATACTAGAGGCCTAGTGCACGAGGTGGGGGTGTCCCTCAGCCCAGCCTGCACCCTCTCTAATCTGGGACCCTTCGAAGGATGTCCAACTACTGGGATTGGGCCTAAACAGGCAGTCGGACATCCCTCTCACAGTCTAGGACTGCTGGCTCCCAACTGCTCGCCTGCCTGCCTTCCTGATTGCCCCTGCTTCTGCCTGCCAGCCTGATAACACTCTAACCACTCCCCTCCCAGCCTGATTAATGTCTAATTGCTCCCCTGCCAACCTGATTGATGTCCAACTGCTCCCCTGCCAGCCTGTTTGCCCCTAACTGCCCTCCCCTGCAGGCCTGGTCCCTCCCAATTGCCCTCCCTGCTGGCCATCTGTGTCCACATGGGGGCAGGATTTTTGACCACATGGGGGCAACCATCTTGTGTGTTGGAATGATAGTCAATCTGCATACTACTCTTTTATTAGGTAGGATAGAGGTATGGTGCATGGGTGGGGGCCAGCTGGTTTTCCCTGAAGAGTGTCCTGGATCAGGGTGGGGTTCCCTTGGGTCATGGGGTGGCCTGGGCGAGAGGCCTAAGGAGGTTTGCAGGCCGGCCATGCCCCCTGGAAACTCAAGCAGAAACCCTGGTATCTGGGTTTATCTTCTACAATTGAAACTTTGTAGCCTGGAGTAGAGCCAAGCCTCCTGCTTGTTCCCTGGCTATTGCCATTTCTGTTTGAATTTATCTTTTATAATTGAAACTTTGTACCCTTGAATGGAGGCCTGGGCCTGCCAGGGTGTGTGGAAAGCTTGGCTTCCTCCATCACCAGGGAAACCCAAGCTTCACTACTGCTCGCTCCATAGCTGCAGCCATCTTGGTTGGGTTAATTTGCTTGCTTGCTCTGATTGGCTGGTGGGTATAGTGGAGTGATGGTTAATTTGCATATTGTTCTTTTATTAGATAGGATACTAGATTAGGGCCCACCCTAATGACTTCATTTAACTTTAATTACCTCTGAAAAAACCCTATCTCCAAATACATTCACATTCTGAGGTACTAGGTGTTAACACTTCAACATAAGAATTGGGAGGAGGCACATAATTTAGCCTCCTGATTTTTATGAATTCCTTACCCAAGGAAAAGGAATGACAGAAACTTGAGAAAATTAAAAGTAATTAGTCCGAAACATCATTTGAGCAGCTAACAAGATGAACTTGTGGGATTTGTTCTTATTAGGTGTGCAACTTCCTGAAGAAAACTTCATGGAAACCAAAGAAATGATTCAAAGTATCTGTTTTTCTTTCAGACCTCTTTAAATTACCTCAAAATATCTTCCCACAGAGGTTTACTGAGTAAATATCTCTTATTTTGCCCAAAATAAATTTTGCCCTACAGATGGTTCTAATGTGTTTTTATTAGAATTGTGTACAGTTGTAATCATTCCTTCCATCATACATATTATATACAGTCACATTCAGGTATCTGAAACTAAAATAACTTACAAATTCTAATATTACTCAGAATAATTCTATCTCTATTAACAAAGCAAAACCTCTGAGTTTCTCGTGGAAAATTTGAATTCAGGGCATTATTTTATAATTTGGAAATCTGAGTAATCCAACTTTAAGATGACTTTCTCATTATGGAAGTTTACTCTGTCGATGTGTGATTTGGGACTTCCTTCTATCTCAAGCCATTCCTGCATACGACGCACTTTAGAGATGGGACCTTGCAGTTGTCCTTGCACTGTGCCCTGGTCTGTGTTCTTGACCCAGCCTACTAATCCCAGCCTTTTACTCTCAGCCTAAGGGGAAGAAAAAAAACAAGAGAAATCCAGTGAGATTAAACAAAACAAAGTTAGACTACAATCTTTGCCAGAATCTTGGTCTAAACTCAAGCCACTGAAACTAATTTGATATTGTCCAGAACAGTCAAAACAGATCAAGAAGAATCTCATTGCTGATTTTAATATGAAATGTTGGCCACTTCATTTCCTTCTTCTACCCTATAAAACCAAGCCAGTAGAATTTTTCACTATGTAATAAATGACGTAAGATAAAATCAGATGCTTCCAAAATGACTCCCTAAGACTAATTATTGTTAGAATGCTGGGCTGTATTTATCTTATACATTTTCCCTTCTAATCAAGAATCTATTTGGTATATTAAATAGAAAAAGCATAAAGTTGCTGAAACCGGTTTGGCTCAGTGGTAGAGCGTCAGTCTGCGGACTGAAGGGTCCCAGGTTCGATTCCGGTCAAGGGCATGTACATTGGTTGCAGGCATATCCCTGGTAGGGGGTGTGTGGGAGGCAGCTGGTCGATGTATCTCTCTCATCGATGTTTCTAGCTCTGTCCCTCTCCCTTCCTCTCTGTGAAAAATCAATAAAATATATTTAAAAAAAAAAAAAAAAGAAAAAGCATAAAGTTATCCGATTCTTCTCTTTGTCTTTAATCAGGACCACATCTAAACAAATCCAGATGAATAAATGTCCATTATATCTTTAAAGATCACTAGAGAATATTTCACAATTTCCTGGGCAACTCATTCCATTGTTTTCCCTGTAGAGAAACTGTCTAACCCACTTTTTAAAAATATATATATATATATTTTATTGATTTTTTACATAGAGGAAGCAGGAAGAATAGAGAGTTAGAAACATCAATGAGAGAGAAACATCGATCAGCTGCCTCCTGCATACTCCCTACTGGGGATGTGCCCTCAACCAAGGTACATGCCCTTGACCGGAATTGAACCTGGGACCTTTCAGTCTGCAGTCTGACGCTCTATCCACTGAGCCAAACCAGTTCCAGCTAACCCACTGTCTTTATGTTGCATCCAAAGCCCACCTTCTATCATCCTCCTAGAGAAGAAAAGGCAACTGGTGATCAGCCTCTGAAAACCAAAGTTTCATGAGATTACATAAATATTAGGTTTTGCACTTTCTTTTCTTCTTTCTAAATTGAATAAGCTTATGAAGACCATCTAATCATTGTAGTTGCTCTTTTCTTACCCTTTCTAGTGTTTTTCCCTTAAAGACATTAAACTGTAGAATTGTTGACTATTTAGAAAGGTGCCAGTGCTTAGAGGTAATTTTATTTTAGTAAAATTTCCAAGTTAAGGATATTATAAAAGTTATTGTTAAAGTAATACATCTAAATAGAAGGGATTGGATTACAAAAGAAAATGGGAGTTAATATGATTGTATGCCCAAATGCCAGAGTAATGACCTAGTAAATGTGGGAAATTGCTGGAGTTGGCCAAAGATAATGTTATGTACAGCAAAATCATGTTTGATGAGGAACTGAAGTAGCCAATAAATCATATGTTCAAAGTAAAGATATGCATAATGAACAAAATAGATTGCGGTCAAATAGCAATTTAAGGGATATAGAAGAATGTGACACTTGGAATGTGACACTTGGAAAGTTCTACAGTTTTTAAAAAAATATATTTTATTGATTTTTTACAGAGAGGGAGAGGGATAAAGAGCTAGAAACATCGATGAGAGAGAAACATGGACCAGCTGCCTCCTGCACACCCCCTACCAAGAATGTGCCTGCAACCAAGGTACATGCCCTTGACCAGAATCAAACCTGGGACCCCTCAGGCCGCAGACTGACACTCTATCCACTGAGCCAAACTGGTCTCGGGCAGTTCTACAGTCTTAACTCATTATCTTTGGAGATACCCTGGGCAGGCAATAGCCTGATAACCCCTACAGAAGACAGAAGGGAAATTGAGATTGCATTTCTGTCTGCATGTTAAGGGAAGATTAATGACAGTAAGGCAGAGGTAGAAGCTGTCAGTAGTTTGCTCATCCCTTCAATTACTCCCTAGTACTCCAGTAGGAATACCAGACTCCATGTTCAGGGTTACTGTTACTTACCCTGGATTGGATTAAGTATTTTCATTACAAAAGCGTCAGTTAGAAAAGGTGATTCTTCTTTAAAGACAAAATGAGTAAAATTGAGAGAATGGGGAAAGATTGAAGGAGTAAGAGAGGTCTAAAGAAAATGCAGCAGCTACAGAAGATGCTATTAAAACCTATAATAATATGCAAATTGACCAAATGGCCAAACAGTGGCTCTTGCAAGAATTTTGTGCATAGGGCCTCTAGTAAACTACATAAATCTCATGCGTTCATCTAAATGCCATCTCCTTGATTAACGTTAGCTTTCCTATAAGCATTGTGATTGGTTTGATGATACTGAAACAGAACTGGGGAAGCCCTCTAATCCCCTTTGGAAGAGAGCAGCTCGTTAATATGTGCCTAGTTAGAAAGTACCACTGTTAGAAAAATTAGAATAACAGCAGATTGCGCTAGCCGGAAAACTGCGACTTGCAAGCCACATGCGGCTCTTTGGCCCCTAGACAATGCTCTGCCACAAAATACCACTGTCTAGGTGAGTCTATTTTGAAGAAGTGGATTAGAAGAAGTTTAAAAAATTCTGACTCTCAAAAAAAATTTCAGTCGTCGTACTGTTGATATTTGACTCTGTTGACTAATGAGTTTGCCAACCACTGGCCTAGCTGGTTTGGCTGTGGGCCTGCAGACCCAAGGGTCCCGGGTTCAATTCTGGTCAAGGGCAGGTACCTGGGTTGCAGGCTCCTGGTTGGGGTGCGTACAGGAGACAACCATAGATGTGCTTCTCTCACATTGATATTTCTCTCTGTCCCTATCCCATTCTGTCTAAAAATCAGTGGGGAAATGTCCTCGGGTGAGGGTTAAAAAATAACAGCAGATAAACCTGCCATCTGTATTGTATTTTGCCCACTGCAAAGCATGCTCATCCCACTGCTCTACAAACCCCCTTTGCCGTGGGGCTGCTAAACAGCCAAGCTGCTCCCACCGCACTTCGCCAGGAACGCACCCAGGTTCATCCCGGATTCCGTGGACCACCTACCTGAGTGTACTTGCGGAAAAACACCCCTTGCACCTTCCCAAAAACCTCATAATCCACTGATATCAGTGTGTCCCCTTCTGCCATGTTCATGCTCAACCCTGTGGGACATCAGAAGAACAGAGAAGCAGAGAGGGCTCAATATCCTACACCAGAACCCGCAATCCGGGGCGGCGACCCTCCCCGACCTAAGGTCCCCCAGCTTCAGGGTATGTAAGCGGATACGCGAAAGCGAGGGCGAGCGAAGGAACAGGTAGACACCTGGGCAAGGGAGTTGGGGTCGCAGCTGCCCACGGAGGCCTCTCGGGGGACAATTACCTTCGTGCCCCATTCCCTCCCCACACCGCCCCGCTCCCTCCCCATCCCTCCTCCCCATCCCGCCCGCTTCCCACGGACCTCGCGTCCACACGCCGTAGAATCCTCTTCCATTAACATCTAAGGCTAACGGAGCTGAGGGGCACCCCCGGCCCGGGCTCACCCCCTCGGCCCTCCCGCCCCGAGGCCGGCCAGGTACCGGCAACCACCGACCACCACGCCGACGGCTCCCCGAGTCGCTAACCGCCGCTCCGGAAGCTCAGAGCGCAGCTCTTCTTTCGCTGCTTCACATGCCCGTCACTTCTGATGACCAATCAGGGACGGTGCGCTCGGCCCAGAGCCCGCCCAGAAGGTGGGACTTGGGGAGCGGTTGTCAGGGACGGCTCTGGAACCTTGGGCTGGGAGGACTTGTCCTGAGGGGGGCCTTTTTAAAAAAATTTTTTTTAATATATTTTATTGATTTTTTACAGAGAGGAAGAGAGCGGGATAGAGTTAGAAACATTGATGAGAGAGGATCATTGATTAGCCAAGTATTACATATGTCCCCTTCCCCCCCCCATTGACTCCTTCTAGCCCGCCCCCACCCCACCCAAAAACCTCATAATCCCCCACCCCAGGCCTTCACCACCCTATGTCTGTGCCCATGGATTGTGCATACATGCAGACAAGTTCTTTGGTTGGTCTCTTCCCACCTGCATCCGTTTTCTCGTTTTCTCGAGAAACAGAAGATAAATTCATTCATTAAACATTTACTGAGAGCCTCTGTGTGTCAGGCACAGTCTTAGGCAGTGATTGACATACTCCAGTGAACAAAAAGGATTCCTGGAGGAGCTTACGTTCTGGAGATGGAGACGGACGATCAACATTAAACATCACGAATAAATTGAAGAGGACACCTGCAACCTTTCTGCCTGGACTTTTTCTTTCAGTTCTCGGTGTTAAGTCCTGGATCCGGGAGGAGGAGAGATAAATGTATGGAGGTCCTATGGTGGTTATGTCATACTGAAAACTGCTGACCAGAGTCTGTCTTTGGGTTGTTTGTATACATAACATCTCGTCATGACACGAAACTCCATGTGTGAGTATGCGGTGTTGGCAGACTTGTCGAGAGACAGACTTGCCTTGGAAGTCGTGGGTTTCAATCATTTCATTAGTTCCCCACTACAAAGTGAGGCTCTGAGATCCTGGAGGGTCACATAACCTCAGTGCTAGCATTGGGGTGGGAAATGGAATTGAATGTTATGTTTGGTAATATTTGAAAATAATGCTAAAGAGTACCTGGCTGATGTTGTTTCTTTACAACTCATTTAAAAGGCTAGTTTCTCTATAGAATTAAAAACCAATTGAGTGTCTGCTATGTATAGGACATTGTTGACTATACCAAGATAAATGATATAGCCCTAGCTGGTTTGGCTCAGTGGATACAGCATCAGCCTATGGAATAAAGGTTCCTGGGTTCCATTCCGGTCAGAGGCACGTGCCTGGGTTTCGGGCTCAGTCCCCATGGTGGGGTGTGCAGGAGGCAATCTATCAATGATTCTCTCTCATCATTAATGTTTTTATCTCTCCCTCTCCCTTCTTCTCTTAAATCAATAAAAATATATTTTAGGAAAAGATAAATGATATAAAATTTTTGTCCTCAAAGAATTTTGAAATTCAGTGTAAGGAACAAATATGCATGCAAATAATGACAATGCAATGCACAACAAGCTAATTCAGTTCCATGGACATCCATCCAGAGCTCGTCAGGAGCCCGCCCTGTGCTAGAACAAGAACAGAAAATATCACGAGAATACAAAGGAGCAAAGAGATTCGTTCTGACAAAGAAGAGTGGGAAAACATTCTTGAAGGAAACAGCATATTATTCAACCACAACCAGTAAGTGGTGGAGCTGGGATTTACTTCCAAGCAGTCTAAGTACACTCCCATATATGCTATGCTTTACTGTCTCCCAGGATGTGGAGTGGAGGTGAGGAAGTACCACTGAGGTAAGATAGTGCAGGTAGTCGGGTGTGACTATGCCAGGGTTTCTCAGTCCTAGCTGCACATTAAGCCTTCAGGAGAAGGCTCAGCAGGTGGGATTGTTGTCCCATACACCAAAATGGTTGTGGGTTCGGTCCTGTGTGGAAGGCAACTTTTCAATGTTTCTCTTACATCAATGTTTCTCTCTCTCTAAAAATCAATAAACATATCCTCAAATGAGGACTTAAAAAAATCTTTAAAATATATTTTTTAAAAAGCTTTAGGGAGAGCTTTTTAAAATGCTAATACCCAGGTCTCCTCCCCAGAAATTGCTTCCTAGGTAGTAAGAAAGCACAGACAGCATGGAAACCCCCGGGGCTATCCTCTGGGGAGGCAGGGCTTGAAAGGCAGGCTGGAGGTTGAAATGCCAAGTTAAAATTACGCATCCCAACTTTATTCCATAGGCAAAGCAGAAGCCTCTGGGTAGGAGAATGATAGGATCAGGCATATTTATTTTATTTATTTATTTATTTTATTTTATTTTTTATTTATTTATTTTTTTAAATCAATCTTTATTGTTCATATTATTACAAAGGTTCCTCATTTCTTCCCCCCTCCACCAGGTTCCCACCCCACCCTCTGCCCCCTCCCCATCCCCCATTGTCCTCATCCATAGGTGCAGTTTATGTTCAGTCTCTTCTTCCCTCAATTTCCCCAATAGTAAATCCCTTTTCAGATAGTAAATCAGTTACTTAGCATTTTCTCATATCAATAATACCTCCACATGCCCAATGATACACTTCACACAAAAGACATTTCCCAATAGGTCCACTAGCCTCATCCAGGCCCCACCCAAGGCACTCACAGATCAACACCCCAGTCCTAAACTAACTCAACACATCCAGATCTAAGCCTTCATCACTTGATTCAGCAGACCCTCAAGTTCCCACGAAAGTTTCCAGCCATGTCTGAGAAGCAGCCGTGGGGCAGGCAAGGAGCGAGCTGTTCTGGGCCTGGCTGCTCAGGGCCTGGCCTCTGTTGCTCTGGTTCATTCCACAACCAGCTGCTCCGAGTCTGGTCACTGCCGCTCCCGACCTAGTTGCTCTGGACTTGGCTGCTGCTGCTCCGGGCCTGGCAGCTCCCAGCCTGGCAGCCGCTGCTCCAGGCCTGACTGCACCCTACCCGCCTGCTCCCCGGGGCCTGGCCACTCCCAGCCTGGCAGCCGCTGCTCCGGGCTTGGCCGCACCAGCCCCGGGATCAGGCATATTTAGGATAATATTCTGACAGCAGCACAAAGGATGGGCTTGAAGATAAGAATTGCAGTTAGGACATGATGTTTACCGTCCCAAAGAGAAGTGAGGGAGAACTGGTCACGGGCAGTAGAAATGTAAGGAAGAGTCATATGGGAGACTTTGCAGAGCAAATTCAGCAGAGCCTCCTGACTAGTTAGAGGGAAGGGATGACAAGGAGGGAAGAGGAGAAGGTGACTAATGCTTTCCATATGAGAGGGAACACCGGAGAAGGAGTGGATTGAGGGAGTGAGAAGATGACCATGAGTTCGTTTTCTGTCATCTTCAGTTCGAGATTCCCTAGGAACTAAATGGGGAGTTGGAAATTTGAGTCTGTAACTAAGGAGAGAGATCATTTAACAGAGGTGATACCTGAAATTTCAGCATCTGGTTGAAACCACGAAGGAAGAGAATGTCTGGACCTGCATTTATGTCTGAGAAATAAGAGGGCTTTGGAAAACATCTAAACTTGGGGGGCAGGTGAGGAAAAGACAAATGCCAGAAGAAGGCAGGCGGAAGAAAACAGAGCAAGAACATGAAAGAAGAAAACAAAAAGGCACAGGAGCAAGTGAAAAGAGAGTCCCAGGGAGTGGAAAGTCAATAATATCAAGTAAGTAGGTTAAAGAAGGAGCAGCTTTTGTCTTTGGTCATTGGATGGTCACTGGTAGCCTAGCAGTTAAATAAAGTGGAAAGAGTGGAAGCCATACCACAACAGACTGGACCATGAGGGGAAGATGAGAGAGAAGGGACAGCAAATGTAAAGTTTTCTACTAAGAAGTCGTGGAGAAGAGGAGAAATGAACGGGACCGTAAATAAAAGGCAGCAGGTCAAGGGAAATAAGGTTTGTTTTGCAGGGGAAATAAGCATACAGGGATGGGCAAAAGTAGGCTTACAGTTGTAATACCAAGTAATAGTACAATATTTAATAAATAATAATACAAGAACAAACTGTTTCGTGTACTTGCCACTGAAAACCTTGACAAGGTTTTGGTATTTTGAAACCAAATTGAAAGAGTATGTGGCTAGATACCACTTGAAGTTAACATGATGGACTCCATTCCTAAAGGGACTAATTCAAGAAAACTCATGGAAAGAGAAAGGTTCTTCACCCCCAGAAACAAGAAAGAAAGATGTCAAGTTGGAGAGAGGCACGCTAGGGAATGGTGCCAGACTGGAAGGGAGCTACTTGAGTTGATGACAGGCAGGCCTGTGTGCTCAGATAATTGGAACCTTAAGAAGAGTGGAAACTGTCTGGGACTGCATATAGAGAAGGCAGTAGAGAGTCAGCTAGGGAAGAAAACAAAGAATTAAAAAAAAAAAAAATGCCCTGGAGGACCCACCAAGGAATGTCCTTGTAATCTGTAAAAGCTGTAAGATGACCTGTTAAAGGAGTAACACCGCGGGCTGTTGTCTGTGCTATTTTCCATGTACGTGAATCTTTTAAGCCGTCACAGAAAAAAAGCTGCCTGTTGCCAAGCAGCTCACACAAATGACCTGAAGCACGAGGCAAATAAACTCTCCTGATGTTAACAAGCCTCCGAGTATCACCGAGTGTTGAAACCAGGTTTAGACTGATTCTTTTTGATCTGGTAGTTAACTTTATGATCATTACGTGTGGTTGAGTCATTCTTGGGCCCTAAGAAGAGACTGCCAGAGATACCACGGGAGAGTAAAACACTACATCAAAATAATGAGATTGGCCGGAGAAAACTACCCCAGACAGACACTGCGGAGCGAAGCCAAACTGCTAAAATCTGATCGCAAAGTCTAACCTGTGGCCCGGGGAAAGCAAGAGAGATGGTGCCAGCCTCACCTGGGCCGGACCCGCGGCCGCTGGGCGCTCCCGGCAGCCGCTCCGCTAAGGGGCGGACCTCGGACCGCGGCGCGGGGTGGAGGGCAGAGCTGGGGGCTCCCGCTTCGGCCGGGGAAGGGCCCGCCCCGGGTCTGGCGTCACTGCTCCCAGACAAATACCAGTTTGTGTGTGTTTTTTGCGAAGTCCCAGAAAAGCCTCTCCCGTCCCTCCCCTATCCCCCAAGGGCACGGAGTAGCAGAGTTGGCGGGACACCGGGTTCAAGGGACAGTCAAACCGACCAGCAACACCTCCCAGGCCGCTCCCCGTCGTGTTCTGACTGCGCCTGTGCGAGATCCCCCTCCCCCTCCTCCTCCCCCTCCTCTTCTCCTTTCCCCTTCCCCTCCCCTCCCCCTCCCCCTCCTCCTCTCCCTCCTCCCCTCCCCCTTCCCCTCCCCACGGCGGCCGCGGCCGGAGGCGGGGCTGCGCGCACGCGCTCGCGTCTCCAGGCAACGGGGTCACAGCGGCGGGCGGAGGGCGCCTGCGCGGCGGCGGTGGGTGGGGGGCTGGCGCCGGGAGTGCCCGGAGCGGAGTGGTCTCCGAGCGCCTCAGGTAGGCGGGAGGGCGGGGAGACCTGGGGTCTGCACCTCGCCCTCCCCAGGGCCCGATGGACAAACTGAAGGCTGGTCTCCAAATCGGGGTCCCCAATGGGACGCCCCGGCTGCTGACCCTCAAGGTCAGAATGGAACTTCCGTCACAGACCTAAAACCCGCGGCGGTCGGGTCAAGTGCCCCCCCCCCCTCCCCCCCGCCTTTCAGGTTACTCACCTCCCGCCGCTGGGGCTCCCTGGGGAGGGGTGACAGCCGGGCACCTGCTGCCGCCCCAGCGGCTGCCCTGCAGGAGGGAAGCCCTGGGAGCTCCGTGTGCCAGCCTCCTACCTCCGGCCGCAGCCTTCTCACCTGTGAAGTGATGGGGCTGGACCTGTAGTCTTTATTTTTATTTTTTATTTATTGAGTTTTTACAGAGAGGAATAGAGAGTTAGAAACATCGATAAGCCGCCTCCTGCATCCCCCTCCCCCCTGGGGATGTGCCCACAACCAAGGTACATGCCCTTGACCGGAATCGAACCTGGGACCCTTCTGAGCCAAACCGGTTTTGGCTGCACTTGTAGTCTTAAGGTCCCTAAATGGCAGTCATGGACCTGAGCCAACTCTTCAGTTTAAGGCTGGAAAATTGGAGCCCGCAAGGGGAAGTGGCTTGTCCCGTGTTACAGAGCTAAAACCCGACTTCCAATCCAGTAGCTTTGTACCCATACGGAGTACAGTGTGTGTGCCAGGAGCATCCCCGTGCACAGCAGAGGCTGGTACTGGGATAGGGGAAGGGTAGGCGGCAGGAACACCTGTATCACATTCGTTTTCCTATCTTGAGGACCTAATAAGCATTCCCAGGACAAAATAAGTCCTCACCAATGCTTACTGAAGGAAAGCTCTAGCAGACCCAGCACCACTGTCCCTAAAAAGCTTAAAGGAAAACGTGGGAAGGACACAAGTAGACATAGTTTGCTTCAATGACCAAGGTGAACCTCAGAAAAAAAGCTTCTCACCTGTGTCTGCTTTAAATCTCCTCTAGGCTTCAATCCAGACCCCGAATGGCTGATCTCCACTTGCCACCACCTCTGCCTGTGGGTGTGATGCTCCCGCAAAATAAAGCGAAAGCTCCCGGGCTCCGCTCCAGTAAGCAAGACCCCTACGAGAAAGGCGACTCTCCCCAGCTGTCCTCAGCCGGGCACCTGAGGGATAATTCCCAGGAGAAGCTCTTGAGCAACCAAGAGCTGACGCTGAGTCATCGCTACACTCACTCCAAACGGAACCCCGGTGAGAAAGCTGGGAGCTCCTTCTATCCCCACCGTGCTGGACTCAGCCAGCAAGACCCAAAAAGCCACCTCCAGAGCCAGGCAAAGGATTTGTTTTACTCCTCAGGCCCTCCGGCCCGGTATCCCAAAGCAAGCAACCACGAGTTCATCCCCTTTACGAAGAAGCGAGTCGGAGTGGACCGGGCATACCCCCTGAAACCCGTGTTCCACCGGAAGTCTCATAGTACAGGCGAGACCGGCCTGGATGGGGACCAACACGTCTCGCCGAGGCCCCCCGCGCCCAGGGAGTGTCCATACAGCGGCTTTGGTTTGAGGAACTGGGCCAGTTCATCTGTGGTTGGTACTGTGGTTGCCGGGCAGGAGGAGAGGCCCGTGGCAAACCCCACCCGGACTGAGTGGATGCAGATCCAAAGACTAGAAGCTGCAGGGGAGAATTTGGAGGAGGAGATCCGAAGGAAAGAGACCCTCCTGCGGGAAAAGCTGAGGAAGACAGAAGAAGAGCTCAGGAGGATCCAGAAGGAAAAAGAACAGTCTGAGGACAACGAAAGAAGAGAGTTCCAGAGACTGACCCTCTCCAGGAGGAGACTGAAAGGTTATAGCAACACCCCCTACAGACCTGTCTTCTCCCCCGAGTATGGCTCTCAGGAGGTCTTCAGTGGAGAGGATGAAACGTGGGGAGGGTCTCAAGAACACTGTAGTCCGTTCCACTTCTCTGGTTATGGGATGCAGACGCTCAAAAGGGAAAGGCTGGTGGCAAACAATCACAAAACCCGAGGCCAAGCCTCAGGGCAGGTGAAGGAGAAGTTTTATCAGCCTACGGAAGCGCCAGGCGGTGCTTGGCCTGTGTCCACCGGCGGCAATGCTAACCTGTCGAGGGCACCACACTCCGCAGGGTCCAGCCGTTCCACTGAAGAGCCAGAGCTGGGCAAATGCAGCCACTGTGGACGCAAGTTCCTCTTGCTCCGGCTGGAGAGACACTCCAACGTCTGCAGCAGGATGCAGGGTTCCAAGAGGAAAGTGTTTGACTCCTCCAGGGCCCGGGCCAAGGGCACAGAGCTAGAGCAGTACTTGAACTGGAAGGGACCAGCCTCAGTCAAGGTAACAAGGACCTTATGGATTTGACCTTGAGTGGGGTTCATTATAAGGGCCCGTTATATCCCCATATGGTGTGTGTGTGTCTGTGTTTGTTTTTTAAGAAAAACATTTAATTGTTATAAAGGGAGAAAATGAGAGCTAACATTTATGGGTTATTACTGTGAACAGGAGTTTCATACAGACCCTCACCACATGACCTCACTTAATGACCTCTTATCAATTCAAAAATCAAGTCTCAGAGAGGTCGCCTTGCTTGAGATCACAAACAGCTTTAAGTGGCAGAGTCAGAATATAAAACTGGGTTGGAATGACTCCAAAATCTAGTCATTTGTTGTTGTTAATCCTCCCCCCAGGATAGCTAGAGAAAATTTATCACTTTCATGTAATTTATCACTCTTTTATTATAAATGTGGTAAACATTTACTTTTAGAAAATTTAAAAGAAAAAAAAAACCTATTCTGCATTTCACTACCTTGAGAGAATTCCTTTCACTTTGCAATATTGCCACCTTCCAAGATTAGAATCTGTTACTACTCCTGTACTTTTTCAAGTCTAGCTCAGTTTTTATATACCTTCTAAGTAAGATACATGAAACACAATTAAGTTTGGAATCCTCTCCATTTAGAGAATAAACACTTTAAAAAGTAAATGAGTATTTTCGGTTAACATTTCTAGCTGCAGAAAACCTAGGCTGTAAAAGTGAGGATTGGGACATTCCATGATAAGCTTAGGGGCACTTCAGTGGCACATTTGGACCATGAGATCTGGAGGGGATTGCCCCGTGAAGAACTACCACCCTGTCAAGGTGATGCCACTTATTTTGTAAATGAGTGTTTCTCAGAGGCTGGCATGCTGTCAGACATTTTTTTATTTTAGTAGTTTTAGTATTTGTTAAAAATTACAACATTATTATGCCCTTGATTTCTAAGAATCATGAATTTAAAGGAAAATATTAATAGGGAGATAAAGTGAATGTGGTATACATCACTTTATAATCAACGATTGTGAAAGTCTAGACCACATGATCTCAAAGCCTCTTCCAGCTCTAATATTCTAGCAACACATGAGAATCATTCTGTTTTCATTTTTTAAATTAACTTCTTTTAAAGAGAAAGAGGAAGGGACGAAGGGAGGAAAGGAGGGAAGAAGAGAGAGACACACACAGAGAGACATTGATTTGTTGTTCCATTTATTTATGCATTCATTGGTTGATTCTTGTATGTGTCCTGACCCAAGATCAAACCTGCAGTCTTGGTGTATAGAGACAATACTCTAACCACTGCCAGGGCATTACTACAGTGTAGTGGTTTATTTCTGGCCAGAACGTAAAAGAATCTTGTGTTTCTTAAGTTCCTAAATACAGTAGCAGTGAAGCAAAAGATTTGGGTGTCTGAGATCAGATATCCTTGCATTGTGGAAACTATTAATAGTTTGGGGGAATATGTTGCATTGAGGACAAGGCAGAAGCGATCTGTTTTAAGATGCATCCCCTCCTTGGAATATCCTGTCTTATTCCCAAAGTTTGTGCCCTTAGAAGCTGAGTAGTTTCTTTCTCTCTCTCTTTCTCTCTCCCTCTCTCTCTCTCTCTCAACATATTTTATTGATTTTTTTACAGAGAGGAAGGGAGAGGGATAGAGAGCCAGAATCATCAATGAGAGAGAAACATCGACCAGCTGCCTCTTGCACACCCCCTACAGGGGATGGGCCCGCAACCAATGTACATGCCCTTGATCAGATTTGAACGCAGGACCCTTCAGTCCACAGACCGACTCCTATCCACTGAGCCAAACCGGTTTTGGTGGCTGTGTCTCCCTCTCATTCTTCTAGTGCAGTGGTCGGCAAATTCATTAGTCAAAAGAGTCAAATATCAACAGTACAACGATTGAATTTCTTTTGAGAGCCAAGTTTTTTAAACTTAAACTTCTTTTAATGTCACTTCTTCAAAATAGAATCACCCAGGCTGTGGTATTTTGTGGAAGAGCCACACTCAAGGGGCCAAAGACCGCATGTGCAAGTGATTTTTCTTATATCATTTAATATTCATTTAACTTTCAGTATATTCATACCTCTTTTTTTTAATATATATTTTATTGATTTTTCACAGAGAGGAAGAGAGAAAGAGAGAGTTAGAAACATCGATGAGAGAGAATCATCTATCAGCTGCCTCTTGCACACCCCCTACTGGGGATGTGCCCGAAACCAAGGTACATGCCCTTGACCGGAATCGAACCCGGGACCTTTCAGTCCGCAGGCCAATGCTCTATCCACTGAACTAAACCGGTTTTGGCACTCATACCTCTTGTCTCCCCACTGGACCATAAGCATTTGATCATAGAATGCCACATTTTGGTACTTTGTGATTGTGCTAATTGAATAAAATGTCAAAACAAGGAAGAATATAAGTATCATATAGTGACAAACTTTTCTAATTCAGTTCCTGGACACCACCTCCAACACAGGTTCTCTTGCCTTCTTGACTATTTCAATAAGTCTCCTGATGGACCCTTCCTTTTCCTTTGATAACATCTCTTCCTAGTATTCATCATTAATGATGTTGCATCACTTGCCTTCTTTTTAAGAGTGGTTTTATTTTAGTCTAAATATTTGAATACATTTTTATAACCATGAGTAATGCCATTGTAGTGGAATTACAATTTTGTGTTAAACCAGTGGTCAACTTTCACATTATAATAACCACATATATTTTGTTCACTGATGAGTGAACAAATTCTGTCCTGCCCACATGCACCTGGTGTTAATAATTGACTCATGCTGAAACCGGTTCCGTGGATGGAGCATCAGCTTTCGGACTGAAAGGTCCCAGGTTTGATTCCAGTCAAGGGCATGTACCTTGGTTGCAGCTGATCAATGTTTCTCTCCCATCGATGTTTCTGGCTCTCTATCCTTCTCCCTTCCTCTCTGTAAAAAAATCAATAAAAATATATTAAAAAATAATTGACTCATGTTTTCAAATGTACCTTATCTCTATATTTTTTTTAAATGATTCATCTGATATCAGACACCTACTAAAGTTTTTGTAATTGTTCAAACACCTCTCAATCTATCAGTTTGACTTAAAATTCTGGAAACCTCCCTCTTACCACTCTTTTTGCTCCTGCTCTAGTCTGCACTGGTTATTTCTACACCTGGTCCAGACCTGTTGTCTTGGGACTTCTCTTTGCTTCGCTGCGTTGGGTCCCCTGTTTCCAGCATCCGTGTCTTCCTTCCGCTTGCCATATTCCTTGCCTTGTGGAAGCTTACTGAGAAAGATGCATGGGAGGCATATTTTTTTGTCTTGGAATGAATGAAAAATTTCTATGTCATAGCCTTATAATTTTTTAAAAAATCAATCTTTATTGTTCATATTATTACAAAGGTTCCTCATTTCTTCCCCCCTCCACCAGGTTCCCACCCCACCTCCCATTGTCCTCATCCATAGGTGTACAGTTTATGTTCAGTCTCTTCCTGCATCCACCACTCCTCCTTTCCCCGAAAACTGTCAGTCCACTCCCCTCCCATATCGCGGACTCTACTACAATCAACAGCTAATATTGTTCATCAGGTTTTTCAATCTCCTTTTTGTTGTTGTTGTTGTTGTTGTTTAATTAATAAACTTTTACACTTCTAAGAATAAATTTTAAAATCTAATGATTTTAAACCTTGTTTTTTTCTGCCCTGGGAATTGAGAAGCAAACTTGTTTACATGTAAACTTGCCCTTAGGCTATCAAAAGGTGTAGCCATTCAAATGTAAATGAATACATTGTTTAAAGATAGCTGCTGGTTGGAATTGGATTATCTGTTCTGGGTGGGAAGGGCTTGCCTTCCCCTTTCTCCATTAAAATTAAGGTGTTAGCTTTAAAACCTCTTTTTGGCAAGAGACCTTAAACTTTCAGAACTTTAAATTTTTCAGATAGTAAATCAGTTACTTAGCATTTTCTCAAATCAATAATACCTCCACATGCCCAAGGACTTGACACAAAAGACATTTCCAAATAGATCAACCAACCTCATCCAGACCCTACACAAGGCACTCACAGATCAATACCCCAGCGCTATACTAACTCAACACATCCAGATCTAAGCCTTCATCACTTGATTCAGCAGACCCTCAAGTTCCCCCAAAAGTTTCCAGCCATGTCTGGAGGCAGCCCTGGGGTGTGGGCAGGCGAGGAGCGAGCTGTTCTGGGCCTGGCTGCTCCGGGCCTGGCCTCTGTTGCTCTGGTCTGCTCCACAACCAGCTGCTCCCGGCCTGGCTGCTGCTGCTCCGGGCCTGGCCACTCCCGACCTGGCTGCTCCGGGCTTGGTTGCTGCTGCTCTGGGCCTGATAGCTTTATAATTTGATTGATGATTTGGCCAGATATAGAATTCTTTGTGGGAAATGAGTTTCTGTTCAGATTTTTGAGGCATTTTTCCCACTAGTGTTTAGCATCAGATGTTACTGTTGAGAAATCTGATGCCATTTTGATTTTTGCTCCATTATAGGAATTCATTCTGTGTGTGTGTGTGTGTGTGTGTGTGTGTGTGTGTGTTTTCTAAAATCTTACTGGATTTTTAAATTCTGAAATTCTGATTTTATAATGATTATGTTGGATACTTGGTAAGCTATTTCAATCTCAAGAGTAGTGACACTTAACTCTAGGAATGTTTATAGTATTATTTCTTTAAAATTTCCTTCTCTTGCCTTCTTTGTTTCGTGTGTTGTTTTTTAAATGCCTATTGGCCAGATGTTGGACTTTCTGGATTGAGTTTCTAATTTTTTAATATTATATTTTCTACTTTCCATCCTGATCTTTCTTTCCCATTCTGCATAATCTTCTTGACATTATTTTGCAACATTTCTATTTTTATTTTCAGCTATCAGTTTAATTTATAATAGTTCTTTCTAAAAAATTTTTATTGTTTTTTAAATAGAGTGGAAGGGAGACGGAGAGAGAAACATTGATGAGAGAGAAATATTGATCGGCTGCTACCTGCATGCCCCCTACTGGGGATTGATCCCTGACCAGGAATCGAACAGGTGACCTCTTGGTGCGTGGCCAACTGAGCCACACCTGCCAGGCCTTTCTGGCTCTTTGTTCCCTTTTCACAGTGTATATATTCTTCTGTTTTATGGACACAATTTCTTCTAATACTCCTTTGTTGATACTATAGTTTTTCATTAAAAAAAATGTTTTCCTGGTATCTGCTTTGTTGCTGCTTCTGGAGTGTGTGTATTTGCTTGTATTTACTTTTTTTGGTCTCATGTTCGCGCTTACTCAAATATCTGGTAATACTTGGCTGTCCATATTTAAGCTTAATTGGGCTTGTTGAGTAAGGACCTTCATATTAGGGCTATCAAATAGTGAGCCTTTTAATTGCCGTCTCCCAGAGCCAGCATCTGATGGCTTTTCTTTCGCCTGCTTGGCGCAGCCAGAGACCCCTTCAGTCTCCTAAGAAGGTGCCCTGGTTTGGCACCCTGGGAGCCACGTGAGGGAAGGAGCTGACAGTTCTGCAGTCCATCATGTGCACTTGTGCTTGCTCCCTATTTCAGCCACAAGATTAACCCTTTTCCCCCTGTGTCTGGATTTCGTGAATCTGACACCTGTCGGGTTCAATTTCTCCGGAGAATAAATTCCTGTTCTCCTGTGAGGGTGTGGATATCCCCGGTGGGATAGCAGCCCTGGGTCCTGGCACTTTCCAGCCCTGAGGCTCTCCAGGTCTCTGCTGGGGATCATGGCTTGCTTCTCCGTACTCATCCCCCTTTGTAGGCCCTCAGGATAAGTGCCTGCAAGTCAGGATTAACACCCTGTTTCCTTATGGTTATTCTGATGGAGACTCAGGAGATGAGATAAATGCCAAGTTGAATGACCGGTCTGCCTTCTACTTATAGGCTGAAGCTCCACGGAAGAGCAACTGGAGACAGAAGCATGAATCTTTCATCCGCACCCTCCGCCAGGCTCGCGAGGTCCAGCGGGTAATTGCCAAAGGTGGAAACCCCTCCGACCTGCCTCCCATCCTGCCTGCAGAAAATCCCGACTATATCCAGTGTCCGCACTGTAGCCGTCACTTTGCTCCCAAGGTGGCTGAGCGGCACATTCCCAAGTGTAAGACCATCAAGAACCGTCCTCTGCCTCCGAGGAAGCATTCCAGTTGAGGACACCTCCTCAATAGTTCCAGAAAGCTCTGCTTCTCTTGAGCAGTACGTCGGAGTAGAATGATTTGATGCAAAGCAGGAAGAACTAGAATTTTTACACTTCCCAGATCTGCATGCAGAGCTGAAACCAGGGAGAAGAAACCCACTGCTAAGCAGCAGGAGACAGAAGGAAGCCTCAGCCTCCCACCGAATTACCACCTCAGGCTGGTGTGCCTTATGTTATTGCCCTAAGAACTGGTGGGTGAAGACAGTTAAGAGTAGCAAGCAGCCTACATTAAAGCTGTCTTCTCACAAGCTGCCTTGTGGTTTGTGCTAACTAAATGCCTGCCTCTGTCTGTGGCGCCCGCTAACTCTTCTCATTCTTGTGAGAAGTTGGCTCATTCGGATAAGTTGGTGTCAGAGGATCAAGGTCGCCCAGATGATATCTCATAAAAAGTGATACGATTTCGCTGTAAGCCAAATGGAAGTCTATCCTGGACCTCCCTGGTTCATGGTCCTGGCTAAAAACCAATACAAAGTATGTAAGGTTAGAGTGCCAATACATCCTAAACCCTCCCTTTGGTGTTCTGTGTCATAAAGGGAACCTCATGTTCATCTTCATCTTGTCACAGGTAGGGATGGGGGAAAACACACTATATGTCTCTGTCGTTGTACTTTTCTGATGTCAAGGGGAAGAAATTTCAGTGTCAGCTATTGCTAGCACTCTGCTTTCAAACCAGGTTGGTAAGTTGGATGGATGGCATTTCAAATGAAACAGCAAAATGTACCATCAAAGCAAGCTGTACATTGCTATGCACATGTCCTCGCGGACTATACTACAGGTAACTTCTTGTTTAGAAAGCAAACTTTGAAGGGTACCAGATCTTTTTCATTTTCTCTGTGCAGAGTCATGCCTACTGCAAGTAACCTTTATATATAATTAGAACCCCAATAAATGGGTTTGTGGGATTTAACATCAAACAAATAATGAGTCCTCAGCTTGCCAAGTGGGAGCAGTGATGAGATACATCTGACAGGGTAGGGTCAGCTGGTATAACAGACCTGGAATACCAGTAGCATCATTGTCCTGAGAGCATTTACTCAAATTATTAGTTTAAAACACTGGAAAAAAGTCACCCAACCTGACCCGGGCAAAGAGGACTAGGCACACCACAAAACCGTATTTTACTCAACAACCAATGGCCACTCACTCGTTTAATTTCCACTGCAGCTTCTGCTGAGTGGCTGGGCTATCAGATCAAACCCCTTTGAAATGTGAGTTTAAGACTCTAGCTGTGAAGCTATAGGACACTAGGCTGAAAAAAAAATTACATATTTTAAAAACAGCATATATTGATTTGATTTATGCTTTTTAACTGTTGCAAAGAAAAAAAGTATCACATAACAGGGCTTTCAATTGGCCACTTACAGAAGCCTCACATACTCACTGGGTATTTAATCCAACACAGATATTCCCCAGGCAAGTTTAACAAGGTCCACTTTGCTTCATACTTGACGGTAAAAACAATAGATGGCAAAAATGAGCTGTGGCCAACATTACTAAGTGGTGGCCTGTGGACTGCTTTGCCCCACAGTTTATTTGGCAGGCACCGCACTAAAAACATAGCCTGGCATTGAAAAACTGGGATGTGGAGCATCTTACATAACAAGGTTCTGGAAACACCAGGCCAGCCACCCTGCATCGCACTAATTAAATGAAGTTCAGAACCAGTTGCTCCTTGAGAGGGGAGAGCATTCAGATCACCACAGCCCATTATGTGCCTCATCTGCCTGGCCCCACAGGCACTGGGCTGGGGATCTCTGTGTGATGTTATTAAGGTCACAGATCAGGGCCCTCCGGGAGAATAAATGTGTGTGTAGGGGGCAGGGTACTTTCTAACAGGAAGCAGTTATTCACTATGTTACCAGAGAAATAAAACAATAGTCAATGTCCCTTCAATCGCAACATGCTTAGGCCTTGATTATAGCAGTCTTTTAAATTTAGCCTGATCTGACCTTTGGGAAGAGGTTGGAAACCTTTCTCTAAATCTCTTCCTGGGTAGCAGAGGATGATGCGTGGAGAAATAAATGCTGCTTGTTAGTCTATGCATTATACTACTTCATCCAAGAACCTTGAGTCCATGTTATAAAGTTCAAAAGGCTAAGCAGTGGGAAAAATCTCACAGTAACTCGCTGTGGGCAGACATGCTAACGTAGTGCTTAACAGCAGCGTGTTTAAGGCAGCACAGTGCCTTTTGGCCGGCATTTTCTTTGTGTCATCAACTTGTCACTCTTCACAGCTGCACAGGAGGTAGCTGAGATGTGATACAGTGTTCTTCTCCCTAATGTTATGATTCTATGAGGTTTAGTGATCAGTATGTTTATTTCCAGTTAGTTATCGAAGCAATAAATGATTTTTGGCTTTGCAGCATGAAGGAATATATTTTGTAGCCCTGACTACAGCCCACTCTGCCCTGACACTATCATGAATAATACTTCTTTATAGGCCCAGGGATACTTTTTTGAAAGAAATTATTTACATCTTTGCTCCAGAGTTGGTCTATTATGAATGTTTCCAAATATATGGCAAACCAAATGAAGTGTGAGTTTAAGGTTGCTTTTGCTTTACACTCTAGGGAAATGCTCAGCCAAGAGAAGTTGTAACTTGGCTGTGCTATGCCAAGGCGACCAAAATACAGTTCACCCTCTTATATTTTATAAACACGAACTGGCATTATCACTTGAAAAAGCCCACTGTGATCGGGGAGGCAAGTACAAGAAGTGATTCTTCCTCTTCTAATAGCTTGTTTTATTCTCCCTCTGCACTTTAAGCACTGTATTTCATAAGTTTGGGGTTTTTTTTTGGGGGGGGAGGAGAAAGGAGCTGTAGCAGCAGAAATGATTCTGTTAGCGAGGAAAAGAAATTGTAAAGAGGAGATTATTTCGGTGCAAATGTCCCTTGCATTGTTTGTTACAGACCACTGAATTAAAAAATTCACAAAAGTCTGGAACCTGAGTGTTTTATTCCCAGTGACAAGGTCCATGCACAGATTTACTAAGACATAGCACTGATTGAGAGTTTAAATGTTTATTCAAAATAGAAATGCCAAACCACTCCACCCTCAACCTTTCAAACATCTGGCCAACAATAAGCTAGTTCTTCAGCAACAATGTCAGAGCAGAGGGATAACTCAGGTTATACTGTAACTCAAAAGCATTACTACGGAAAACTTAAAACACCTAGCACTGTATAGAAAGCAAAGTAGAAAATTACAGAAAACCATTCAAAGACATTTCTGCTACCTCACTTCACTTTTTATCTAAGCATGGCTGCCACCTTTGAACTGGTTTCTGTTTGCATAGCTGCTTGGTGGGGAAAATAATACGGCTGTCCCAGGCACCATTTTGGAAAAGTGCAAATTATTTCTAAGGCACAGAATTTAGAGTCTCAGCCAGATTCATAGCAAACCTAGGTTTCCCAAGGGTACATGCTAGAGAAAATGACCACAGCATTCCACTGCTAGAGAGTAACTCCCTTCTGGAACAAGGACAGGGTCTCACCCTCCCTTCAGTGCTCACATCCATCACCCAGTCTCAGCAACGTTCCATGTTCCTCAGATCCACAGCAGAAGCAACACTCATGATCAACACCCAAACTGACCCGCCTCTCAGGCCTGCTGAGATGATAAGCATGAGGGACACAAGAATGTGAAAGGCCAGTCAGACCTTTAAAAAAATCGAAATTGCATTTACATGATGAACCAAAACCTATTATTAGGGTGTATAGGAAACCCCCAAGTCCCTAGAATTTGTAGCTTAATCCAGGGTTGGCCCCTTCCCTTATTTGAAGAAAAGGCTTCAGTGATTACATTAGTACCATTGTACTAGGCTTCCCAGAATTGAGAAACATCAAACCAAAGGAGATCCCATTGGACAGAGTCGCCCATCCCCAGCTATGGGGTTTTCCCCGGAACATCAGCCTTTACATCATCAGTTTCAGGGAAATGACAACATTTCCATTGCACAGATCCTTCCAAAATATTAAAAACATCAGACATTTAAGATTTGGTCTAGGGAAAAGGAAATAAAGCTGAATGGAGCCGTTTCTAGGAAGGTAGGATGTGAAACTCAAGGCAGCTCCGTGAACCTTCCACAAGGCTGGGTGGAGATACCAAGCTCACACTCTTACGTAAAATCATCGAAGGCTCTAGGACACGTTCTTTGGGAAAGCCAGCTTGCTCCGGTCTACTAGAATAGGGCATGACTACGGGATTATAATAGAAGGGAGCTCAGCCAAATTCCTTTCACTTGGCAGGTTCTACCTGTTCTGTTAGGCTTCAGGGACTACCAGGTTTGGGGCTGGCTTTGGGCCACTCTAGTAGGAAAACTGATAGATTCACTGATATGGCGTCATAAACACCAAAGGGGGAAAATACTGACATACAGAAAGGGAGTGGATGGGGCTGCTGATGTCAAGATCAGAACAGTAAGAGCCATGAAGGCAGAGGCATGAGAGGCCGCCTGGGCAGAAGACTGTCACTATAGGCCCTCTCACACATGCAAGCAGAGGCAGCTAAAGGACTTCCTCTCCCTCATGGTTTTCTCTTAAGGCCATTCCTGCTGCCCGACTGGCTCAATTCTCTACAAGCCACCTCATCTCTCAGAGGCTTCTTCCAAAGCTAGGAAAGCCCACCCTGCACCGGCCACAGCTGGACACTCCAGCTGTGTGATGAGGAGGGACCAGCTCTTCTTTTTCTACTCCTCAACAACCTCAGAGGAAAAGCAATTGAAGCCCATTTTTCCTCCTAAAGCCCTGAGCTGCACGATGTAACTGAACTTTCTAAAAACTGGCCCTAGAGACTGACTCCACCAGTCTTTCCTGGACGCAGAACTTCTGAGAGGGCTCAGAGCACTTCACTTCTCTCCAGAGGACCCCGGGAGGGCCCACCTGGTTCCAGCCCACTCCAGCTTCACACTTTTCCCTCCTCCACCAGAGGTGCAATGCCTGGTGTTGAATCCCC